AATTATTCGTGTCGGTGACGGGTTTGCTATCTAAATTCACGTCTGCCTGGCAGGTGAAGGAAAACGGGGGGAAAACTTCCCGATCTTTGGGAGAAAAACACACAATTTGTCTTTCGAAATTCACATTATCTGTGAAAAAGACAAAATCTGGAGTTGCCTCAGTGACGAAACGCCGGCGTGAACCGGCAAACCTCGATTCGTGGTCTTGAGGAAACCAAAATCAAATGAAACATAAAATGGGTTCCTTGGGGTGAGCCAACAAACCACAATTCGTGATGTTGAGGTAACCAAAATAAAATGAAAGGTTCCTTAGGGTGAGCGAACAAACCTCGATTCGTGGTCTTGAGGAAACCAAAATAAAATGAAATATAAAATGGGTTCCTTGGGGTGAGCCAACAAACCACACTTTGTGATGTTGAGGTAAGCAAAATAAAATGAAAGGTTCCTTAGGGTGAGCGAACAAACCTCGATTCGTGGTCTTGAGGAAACCAAAATAAAATGAAATATAAAATGGGTTCCTTGGGGTGAGCCAACAAACCACAATTTGTGATCTTGAGGTAACCAAAATAAAATGAAAGGTTCCTTAGGGTGAGCGAACAAACCTCAATTCGTGGTCTTGAGGAAACCAAAATAAAATGAAATATAAAATGAGGGGATCCTTGGGGTGAGCAAACAAACCTCAATTCGTGGTCTTGAGGAAACAAACAACAATATATATATATATCTTTCTCTCTCTCTCCTTGGAGTGAACTAGCAAACCTCGATTCCTGGCCTTGAGGAAACAAACAAAATATATATAAAATGAGGGATTCCTTGGAGTGAACCAACCTCAATTCGTGGTTGTGTGGAAAGCAAAATAAAATGAAATATAAAACGAAAGATTCCTCGGGGTGAGCGAACAAACCTCAATTCGTGGTTGTGCAAAAACCAACATAAAATAAAATATAAAATGAGGGGTTCCTTAGGGTGAGCGAACAAACCTCGATTCGTGGTCTTGAGGTAACCAAAATAAAATGAAAGGTTCCTTGGGGTGAGCGAACAAACCTCGATTCGTGGTTGTGCGGAAACCAAAATAAAATGAAATATAAAATGAGGGGTTCCTTGGGGTGAGCAAACAAACCTCAATTGGTGGTTTTCAGGAAATCAAAATAAAATGAAATATAAAATGAGGGGTTCCTTAGGGTGAGGGAACAAACCTCAATTCGCGGCCTTGAGGTAACCAAAATAAAATAAAATAAAATATAAACTGAGGGATCCCCGGTGCTCTCTGACTTGGCTTGTTTTCATTCAGACGTGTCCTTAAATATAAAATATAAGTGATTTTTTTTTTTATCCCCCGCCAACTGAAAATTTCAAGGAATTCTGGCCGCCGGGAAGGTGAGGCCGGGCGGAAGAGGTGTAAAAGTGAGAATTATATTCGCCATTTTTCCATTTTCCTTTCAGCCGCAGCCACTTGTAGGTGGGGAACGATCCGTACGGTCAAGGAGAGGAGCGAGGAGAGCTACAACGGGTTTCCTAAGCCTTCGATTGAGGCTTCCAGACGTAATCCCGGAACATGGTATAAACCACACCTGGAAGACAAAAATCATGACAATGATATCAATAATATTGAATAATAATAATTAGAAAATGATAAAAAAACAAAATAAGAACAAAAAAGAAGAAAAGGAGGAGGAGGAGGAGGAGAAGAAGAAGAAGAGGAAGTGGAGGAAGGAGGAAGAAGAGGAGAAGGAGGAGAAGGAAAAGAAAAAGGAAGAAGAGGAGGAGGAGAAGGAAAAGGAGGAGAAGGAAAAGAAGAAGGAAGAAGAGGAGGAAGAGAAGGAAAAGGAGGCAGAAGTGGAGGAAGAAGAAGAAGAGGAGGAGAAGGAGAGGAAAAAGAGGAGGAAAAGAAGAGGAGGAGCAGAAGGAAGAGGAGGAGGAGGAAAAGGAGAAGAAGAGGAGGAAGAGGAAGAAGTGGAGGAAGGAGGAAGAAGAAGAGGAGGAGGAGGGGAGGAAGAGGCAGAAGAGGAGGAGGAGAGGAAGAAGAGGAAAAGAAAAGAAGAGGAGGAAAAGAAGAAGGAAGAAGAAAAGGAGAAGGAAAAGGAAAAGAAGAAGAGGAGGAAGAGGAAGAAGTGGAGGAAGGAGGAAGAAGAAGAGGAGGAGGAGGGGAGGAAGAGGCAGAAGAGGAGGAGGAGAGGAAGAAGAGGAAAAGAAAAGAAGAAGAGGAGGAGAGGAAGAAGAGGAAAAGAAAAGAAGAAGAGGAGGAGGAAATGAAGAAGGAAGAAGAAATGGAGGAGAAGGAAAAGGAAAAGAAGAAGAGGAGGAAGAGGAAGAAGTGGAGGAAGGAGGAGGAGGAGGAGGGGAGTAAGAGGCAGAAGAGGAGGAGGAGAGGAAGAAGAGGAAAAGAAAAGAAGAAGAGGAGGAGGAAAAGAAGAAGGAAGAACAAAAGGAGGAGAAGGAAAAGGAAAAGAAGGAGGAGGGGAGGAGGAGGCAGAAGAAGAGGAAGAGGAGAAGGAAAAGGACTGTGGGGTCCCTGGTGCTCTCTGAGCTTTCCTTGCAGACGTTTCACAACCCAACTAGGTAACATCATCAGGGCTAGAAGGAAGGAAGGAAGGAAGGAAGGAAGGAGGAGGAGGAGGAGGAGGAGGAGGGACTGTGGAATCCTTAGTGCTCTCTGAGCTGGGTCGGTTTTCCTTCCAGACGTCTCACGACCCAACTAGGGAACGTCATCAGGGCTACAAGGGAGGAGGAGGAGGAGGAGGCCACCTGTGGGATCCCAAGTCCCTTTGTTCTGTGCTGTTCGAACCGTCACTAAGCGAACCGTTGTTCGTTCAAGGAGGAGCCGTCCTTTCCGCTCCCCGGCCATCCCAGAACACCACAGCCGCCCCCCAAACACACACACACACACACACACACACACACACGCACGCACACTGGGACTCACCGCAGACGATGCTGCCCACCACGAAGCCCTGGGCGGCCATGCGGGTGTGGATGAGGTGGATGGACATCTTGGTCTGGCCCCGGTGCTTCAGCCGGTAGATGCCGTAGGCCGCCAGGCTGACGAAGCCCGCCAGGCCTGGCGGAGGGAGGGAGGGAGGGAGAGGGAGAGAGGGAGAGAGGGAGAGGCCGTTAGTGCCCTGGCCGGAGAGAGAGAGGGAGGGATAAAGAAGGGAGGGAGAGAGAGAGGGAGGGAGGGAATGTGTGCAGAGGAAAAAAATGAAGAAAGAGGGAGGGAAGGGATGGATAAATAAAAGAGGGAGAAAGGAAGGGATAAGGAAGGAAGGGAGGGAGGGGAAGAGAAAGCAAGGGAGGGATAAATAAGGGAGGGAGGGAGGAAGAAAGGGATAAGGAAGGGAGGGAGGGGAGGAAGAAAGGGATAAGAGAGGGAGGGAGGGAGGAAGAGAGAGGGAGGGAGGGA